TGCTAAAAAGCAATTGTTCATATAGAAAATGAAAGAAACAAGAGAAGTTTTTACACTAGCACGATTCTATAACGATTTATCGTGTACCGCTATACGATAAAAAAATATTTTCACAAATCAAATCAAATGTCGTCATAATCATGGGAAAACGATAAAATCATTCCCAATTGTTCCTCGCCTTTATAGTTTTGTGGTCGATTTCTGTTTTCCCACTTCTCTATAAAAGATTAGGCCATATATTATCACACGTAAAATAGAGTATTATGCTTGAAATACAATATTGAGATACCTATTAAAATCACATACATCACATCATACTGTCAGAGCAGAAGCAAGCAGCCGTTAAAGCGCCGGGTGACATATAAAAAAAAATATATAACTGAACGAAATTTACATATTCGTGATAGTATGTGTATCCATAGTCCATTCTGTTTGCTTTCTCTTGCAAAAGGTTTTCCGTTAACAATGTTTTCCCCAACAAATTCTGCTTTTGATAAGCTCCCTCCGGGGACGCTTGATAACTTGTTGAAGAACACTACTGAATTGAAGACAATTCTCTCAAATCATTTCGTTGCTGGAGATTTCTACGCCATCGGACTTCAAGATGGCTACAGGATTCGCACCATTGCCGGTGATTTCATAAATGTGGCGATTGATGGAGGTAATTAGAAAAGTTAATGCTCAAAAAGTATTTACATAATTAACATATATATTTATATATATATACATATATATAATAAAAGTAATGGTAACAGGCATAGCAATAACATTATTACTATCATCATTAACAATGCCATCATCATACTCACAAACAGCATCATTATTAGCACGGGTAGCATTAATCATAATGACAATACAGTAATGATAAGCCTGTAGTAAAGTACAATAATAAATAATATTGGTAATGATAGTTCTAATAATGATGATGTATAATGATGATGTTTACAATTATTTTTTAACCTTACAGGTGTCATTAAAGTGAACAACGCCACGGTAACGTTTGCAGATATATCGGTAACTAACGGTGTTATGCACGCAATAGACACGGTATTGTTTCTGCCATAGTAAGCTGTAAACAATGAACCCCGACGGACTTTACACAAGGAAAAGCTTCCATAAACTCGCTACATGATATCGCCAACCGCTTTTGTAACACTGATTGGTCAGAAAGTTCCCAATTGCGTTAAGAACGGCATACGCAATGTAAACGATCATTGCAGTGAAAACACTGTCGCGGTAGTGTAAGGATTTTATGGAAACATGGATAACGCTCTGTCCACACTATACAATTTTCTTTGACAAAAAACTGATGTACGCCCATATATAGTCATAATATGCCTGTATATGGTCATGATGAGATATCATCATGACCATATTTAGGCATGTCACAAGTTTTTGTCAAATAAAATTTGATAGTCTGGATCGACAGATCTTTAGAACTTGACATTTCAGTAATTTTATGTTGGCGGCGCTATTACTTCGATAACTTCATAACAAACAAAACATCAGTTGAATATGAAACCGGGTTTCAAAACGTTTTGTAAGGACGTTTTCTGACTTTTTATTTGGTTGATCAAAAAGGTAAATGAGATTAAAATCAGTAGACCTATAGCGTTAATATCTCATTGTAATGTTCAAATTTACGAAAGACACACAACGAATGATTGCTAACTCTCAAAACGTTTCCTATTTATACAAATGTAGTAATGCATCTAATAAAATATATAAAGCTTTTTAGCGACATGTTTCGACGTGTCACACGTCATCATCAGGCAATACTGCTTATGCTACTTACTGGCAACGTTTATTTTGTTTTTCAATAAACTCTTTTCTCATCCTGGACCAGCCTAGGTGATGAAGTAGGCAAAATATCTTACTTAGGAGCTACTATTTGTTTTCAATATAGGCCTAGGTCTATATAATATTTTTTTTAGAACACAGGTCTCCCACTAATTAAAGACCCTCCAATTAAAGACCACTTTTCTGTGGTCCCATAATAATGTCTTTTATCTTTATTATTCTAATTAGATACCAAAGCTGCTGAAGATCATGGAAACCTCGGTCCCAATTATGGTCTTTAATTGGAGGGAGACCTGTGTAATCAAGTCAAATCAAAACATTCTTAGTAATCTTCATAATAAGTACTCGAATCCATATTTAACACATGCTATTTGAGTTATTTTGATTTAAATATGCTTATTCTAAGAAACGTATCGATGTTATACTTCCTAACAATGAGCTATTTATGTCCGTTTACTAAAATAAGTTTTCTATATAATTCTATACGTTAAACATGGTTCAAGAAATTATGTCACAGTTGAAATTATTATATTAATTATTATATTACATTATATTTTATTATATTATAAAGATATAAATTTGCGTCAGGAAATACCTTTATAGCACCTGCAGTACCCGCTGTTACTAGGGGATCGGATTCATCACGCGTCACCAAGCGCAAGCTCGGTGGTCTAATTGTTAAGATCAGGCTAGATACTTGGAGGTCGTTGGTTCGATTCCCACTTGAGATTTTTTTCGCTGTATTTGGTGACGTACTGAGTATTCGGTACGGTTACACATCAGGTAGGGCCCAAAACATTAGTCCTATCATATTATATTTTATTATACTGGTACTATATTATACTATATTATATTATATAACTCACTACTCGTCTAATTTTTTTGTATACGGGATACACAAATATTTATCATGTATTTCATGTGTTTTCAACATGAAAGCCTATCAGTTGAGGTATCCAGTTATGGGTAAGGAGAAGTGTAGAGAAGGTGGTTGAGTGCGGTAAGAGCCGATGTGATCTTATTCATAGTTGACGTTGAGTGCAGTCTTGCCTTCACCTGATCTGGTGTCAGTCCTGGTTCCCGGTCTCTGATGATCGCCGCAACTCCTGACCAAGAAAATATCAAAATATTTGTTCAATCAAATTAATCTTTATTATCCAAGAAAGAAAAATATAACACATATACTTTGAAGTTTTTTCAAGCAAAAATGTATAATTTCAAAAGTCTCTTTTTCAAGATATACAGTTTTAATAAAGTTGATACCTTAACTATGCACTGGTTGTACGTGATACCGTGGATTGTGGTATGAACACAAACCCTAAAATTAGGCCTATCTATGTCTATTTTTAAAAAATGCCCTATTGTTTATTATCAACGAAAACATGATGGTATTTATATTTCTGTAAAAAGCCCTGATCAATGAATGCGGGCTCAAAATTAATCATGACGTCAGATAAATAGCAGAAACCTTACCAGCAACATGAGGAGTAGACATGGATGTCCCAGACAACACCATTGTGTCACAGTCACTGTTTTTGTATGCACTTTTTATGTTGGTGCCTGGCGCAAAGATATTCACACAGCCCCCGTAGTTGGAGAAAGAGGCCCTGGCATCACAGTGGGTAGAGGCTCCGACGGTGTAAGCCTAAGAAAGGAAAATAAAAAAACAAACGCTTTGAATATGAAATATAGTCATTATACAAATATTGTGAACTAATTATGTATTTATTATGCAAGTAACGCCAACACAACAGCGTTGATATATAGGCCTAAATATCTTATAAGAAGAGGGCGTATCATGTAGACCTCTATTATTTGCAATGCATCAGGAACTAGTGCTGTCTAATTACGCATTCGTATGAGTGTGAAGATTTACTTTAATCGGATTCGAATTTCCAACAAAGCCTCAATGGCCCATCCATTTGGGTGTCTGCATCGACAGCAGCAAGGCCTCGGGTTCGAATCCCGGTTGGGGCACCTATTTTTTTTACACAAGCAGATTCCTCTTCTTCAACATGTATTTATATATATTTTTAACATTACCGCATGACGGTTTAGCGTCATAACCATTAGATCACAGAGGCTTCATGGTTGAACAGATTCAAATAACCGTCAGTTACCGTACATTGGATTACACAATGATGGTGCACCTATAGAAGGCGTACATATATATGTATATACATACATTAGTTTTTCATTGAATTATATGACTTGTACCGCTACTGTTTTTAATGCATACGGTACCTCAGCAGCTGATGCTGGAGAAAATTGGCAAGCGTTCCAATTCCAATTTCCTGCAGCCACGATCACAGGGATATCAAAGTAGTTGTTGATGATGTTCACAACAAAATTGATGAGCCAGTTGTACCCACCACCCAGTGACATTGACATAACTGCAGGTTGCTGCGCGTACAGAGCCGTCCACACCATACCTTAAATGAAAAAACAATGAAGAATTTAGGCTTACATTCAATCAATATCTCAATCAGTCAGCCAGAGCCTCGGTCCAGCAGTGGTGAAAGCCTGGTCTTCCTAGCTATGTTTACCCCTTGTGATGTGTCCAGGAGCGTTTGTAGCTAGATTTTTTTAGCCTACTCTCTTAGTAAGTAACTTATTGATAGACATGTGCAAGCTTACCACTTAATACTGACGAAATGGATCCGCTGCCAAAAGAATTGAGGACTTTAACAGCATGTACTCTAGCCCCTTTAGCAACTCCGTACTTCCGTCCTGCTGCCGTACCAGCACAGTGTGTCCCATGCCCATTTCCATCATACCAGCCCTGTAAAAAAGTAACGACCGCGATGGTAGGCCTAATTATTTGATTTTTTTGGCAGGTGGGCTAAGTATATTCAATAGAAAATAGAACATTCGTTTGTAGACACACAATGTCGCAGATATAG